TACACTAACATTGGGTATAATCTTGGCCCTTGTCTAGGTTAATGATTTTGGGTACATAATGTCTTTTAGTGTCTGAAAAACTAAGATTTTTGAGATGACAATTAAAGGTTATAATTTGATTGTCAATATTATACTCAGGGCTAGAATTTTTATAAAAATTAAATATGTTTGTTGTTTTTGCTGTTTTCTAAGTATTTATGACACAGCTTCCCAAAAATCTAAATTAAAGTAAAATTTGGTAGCCTGTCATTTAATCAATTAAAGGAAATTTTGTGGAACCTCAGCAGAGCTTTAGAGATACTCCACAAACTTTCTCCTTTTCCTCCTGGGAAGGACATTAGATAAATTTATCCTATCTGGTTTACCTGGTAAAGTTACACTACAAGGAAACCACTGTCACTTGAAAAAATGGTAAAACTCTAATAATATGTACAAAAATGTTAACATTGGTTTTCTAAATCAAAATCTTTCAATACCTGATATATGTAAATTGTCAATGATTATTGTTGCCTTGCAATATTATATACTTCAATGATTTAATGTCTGCAGCACTTGTTTCTACACAATATAAGAAGAAAAGGCCTCAATTGATTCAAAATGATAAACTTTTGAAAGTAAAAATCTTTCTACAAAGGACTGTATAGACTGTTGGATATAAACCTGATTTTTACTGTTTTGTTTGGCATAACATTGAAAATGTTTCTACATTTTACCTTATATTCAACAAAGTTTTCTTGTTTTGACTGACCACACTCTACAGCAATGTTATATATATATATATATATATATATATATTTTTCTTTTTCTAGCAGAGCTAACCTTTTGTGTGGCTTTGAGTACAATTCTTCCAGGGAGCTGACATAGAGCTAAACTAAAATGTGGAGAAACTGCTGCTTTGTTTGTAGGGTTCCAGACACCTCTGAAAATGATGAGAAAGTTTGCCTCCATTGGCAGGACTGAATAACCCGGTTCCCTGAACAAAAAGCTCTGTCATAAAGCCTGAACTCTTTCATCTTTTCGCTGCCTTTGATATACACTTCAAACAACCTGGACAGGACACCACTAATATCCCAGTGCGTGCCTACGTTGGATACCCCTTCGCTAAACTTCTGGGGAATGCCTCAGCTACACGCATTCAATCGCATGGGACTTCTTACTCCATTCATTGTTCCAGTTGCATTGATACTAATTGTATTATCCCCTCTCTTGTTCGTCTATATCCTGTGGTGGTCTTGCTCAAAAGACCCTCCTATGTTATGTTACCTGTTGATTTACATGATATGCCTTGGTATGATAATATTGCCATGCAAGTTTTAAATGAGGTACATGCTCTTCTTCGTCCTAAACGTTTTACCCTTATTTTAGGCATTGCTGCCCTGATTTCCCTGGTTACCTCATTGGCTGCTTCCTCCATTGCTTTAATTCAGGAAGCTAAGACAGCTTCTTTTGTAAATGACCTTACCAAAAAACGTGTCCATGGCGCTCGCTATACAGCGGGACATTGATTATAAGTTAGAAAGAAAGTTAAATGCTCTGGAAGAAATTGTTATTGCTATTGGCAATGAGGTTCAACTTCTCAAACAACAACTGTCTACTCGTTGCCATGTTCAGTTTTGTTTCATTTGTGTTACGCCTTTACATTATAACTCCTTACATTGGAATCTTACCAAACATCACCTATTGGACATCTGGCAAGACAATGACCTTTCTCATGACCTTTCGTCTCTCCAAGCTGAAATTTCTGCTATCAGTAAGTCTCATCTGCACACTTCACTCTCTTCCTTTGCTCATTCTCTAGCTTCCACTCTCCAATCTTTGACTCCTACTCACTGGTATCATCTCATCTCTCCTTTATTGTTCTTTCCCTACTCGCCCTGTTCCTTTGTTTACTCCTTCCCCTCTGTGTCCACCTACTTCACAGGTCCATTCATCGTCTTCAACGAGATATGTACACCTTCCAGCTCCCTTCTAAAAACAAAGGGGGACCTGCTGCACCTCCCCCTGCAGTGACCTTTAGGGCTAACCGGCCCTAGGTCCGGCTGGGCAACCAGCGCGCAGCGGGAGAACAGCAAAACCCTACATACCTGCTGCACCTCCCCTCCCCCCGCAGTGATCTTTAGGAATGGCTTTCGCCAAGGTCCCTAGATCCGGCTGGGCAACCAGCGCGCGGGGGGGAGAACAGCCTGAAGCAGAGGAAGTGCAACGGAAGTTCCCTGAAAAGGCAGAAGCTTATCAATAGATAACGACCACCAAGAACCACTACAAGAATGCTAAAAATCTTTTCCCCCGTCTTTCTAGAACTACAAACTTTAATCCCTTATTTGTCTTTCTAAACTTCCTTCTTTCTTCTATAATGGTCATTGCTTGTTATGTAGATCACCTCCCTGATAGTGGTAGACTGAGCCCATGAGCAAGCTGATTTCCTTGATATTCATTCCTGTGCTTTTGGAAAACATATATATACTGGTCACAAATTTAGAGAAAATTACACTCAGATTTTCACTCTTGAAGTGTGTCTGTGTGTCATTTCTTTCGCCGACGCCCTGACCACCCTACACGCTGCTCTCAACCCTGAGGTGGCCTCATCATCTACTGCCTACTGCTGTGCTGGTCCGCGGCAAAGGGCCTCCCCTGGTGGCGTGGCAGTTGAGCACTGGGTTGCGAGGCTGCCTGCAGCCTCTGCAGCACCACTTTGAACCCCGGCCACCAGCGAGGGTCCCACAAAAAAAAAACCAAAAAAAAAAAAAAACGATAAACATATTTAAGCTGAATGCAAACTATCCATTAAATACTAATGTACATCTTCGGAGTCTGCTAGCACAGCATCTGGATAAACATCCACTTCTCAAATACCTTGTATTCGAGTGTTTAAAGTATTATCAAATACTTTTATCCCTATAATGTATATTTCTAGAATTTGATGCTTTAGGTATGTTTCTGTAGCCTCTCTAGTTCTTTCTGCATTTCTACAGTTTTATATTTCTCATAATACTGTTAAAATAGTCATGAGTTCTGTGGCCCATGAGAATGGGATTATAATCATGACCCATTCTTTTAGATAGTGGAATGTAAAATGTAACTATTTCTATTTTCCATCAAATTCAGCACTTCATTGCTGAATTCATTATTTACATGATGATCTACGGGATGGATCTGGGAAAGGCATAAAGGTATCCAGAACATTATTCAGTGTCCTTTGCTCCTTGAGCAAACTACAGTTGCATCCATTTTGTTGTCTGTAAGTGCAATCAAGAGGAAGAAGGAAACATCAAGGAATTTGCCTTGCACCTTTGTACCAGATGTTTTTTCTGAATGTAAGTTGCATGTTTTATGAGCAATGCATTCTTCCCAAGTGACACGAGACTTCGTCCCCTGCAGGACTGGTGCCATTGACAGTGATGATGGAGAAATAGGAACTTTGGGCTACTGTCTGGGGTGATGACCCTTCATTATGGAGAAATTTTTCTTTCTTTTTTTATTCTGAAAACTTAAAATATAAACAGGACAGTTCCTAAGTGATCATCTTTGGGAATACCTGAAACTTTTGGAAAATATACATTTATGTAGTGTATTAAATAAGTGATTTAACAAGCTTTTGGTAAAATGAAGGGGTATGACAGAAGAACTCATTTCATCTCTATCACATCACTAGTTTGAGTAAAGTTAAAAAAAAGCTCAGAGTCATCAGGAAAAATACTTAAGTTAAATTAAAAAAAACCTAATTAAGATCAGAAAAGGTCACCAAAAATAAGCTAGAAAAAGTTTCTCCCTAGAAATTCAGCATGAAGTTTGAGACTGATTTAAAAGTAGATTTTAAAAGCTGCTACATTCTTATAGGGTCTATATAGTTTTAAAAAAACAAACCCTAAACTTCCAATTGAAGTACCTGTTAAAAAGTTATCCACTGTGCAAAATAAAACTATTCTACAAGTCATTACACACTAAAAATATTTCTTGCAAGTCAGAATAAAAGTTTAGAGATTAGTTATTTGCACAGTTGCCTTTGAAAATCAAATTGGAGACACTGACTTCAGAGTCATTTTACAGTTAGAACAGGGTTCAACATGCTTGGCAAGTATAAATAACTGGAAGGCATGCATGAGCTGCTTATATTAATGTCTCAAACTTTTAAAATTGCAGAGCACAAAATAATGATACATCTCAATGATCCATCACAAAATAATGATACATCCCATGTGTGTCACACATTTACATTTTATCTGAAAGGAATATCTCATGAGAAGGTGTCTGATATATTATATTCCATTTTTATTCTTTTTCTTTCAATATAGGTCTGGAGTCATTAAATTGATTCTATCACTGGCTAATGAATTGAAGCCTATAATTGGGGATCCCTGGCTCTCATGCATACTACTCATTGTCTGTCTGCTCATTAAATAACAGAGTAGATGGTGAAAGGGTAAAGTTTCATGTGAATCCCTGAGCAGCCTCAACCTAGGAAAAGGAAGGCAGCTAACTCTAAGATTCAGCTGTAGTTGCCAGGGAATGTCCTGCCATCCAACTATCTAATCTCATCAGCATCTTGCTTAGATGCTCAAAATTAATTCATCATTCATTCATCCTTGAAAAGTTAGAATTCAAGATTGCAAATGCAAAATCTAAGTTTGTTTGGCAGAATTTTCTCTTGGGGATTAGCTGACACCCCCCCCCCCCATTGAGAGTATGAGAGGTGGTAAGGTGTTTGTGGGAATGGGAGAAGACACATGCATTAGAAAGAGGAAAAACAGGAGCAGAAGGGTGGGAGAGTGCCCAGGCAACACTTGAATCTCATAACCTGGCCCCCAGAAAGAATCTCTTTTATTGAAATAAAAAATACTGAGAAAATAAAAATAACGGAAAACAGAAGAAAATAAGCTGTGCAAGTCTGGGTTCTAATTTCAGAAGAACTTTCAGGGCAAAGGAGCTTGATAAGTGATATTCATTGGTATTCTGAATCTTTATTAAATATTGATGATAATTTAAATATTTAAAGGTCTAACCTTCTGATTTGTAGATCAAAGTTAATGCTCATGTTTGTTTTCTCAAGACGTGGAACTGCAAATCGAAGGCCCAGAGAATACTAAAAACAAAAATAGGAAAAGCACACAATACATTACGTTATCACATGGGAGGGACCTTACAGACAGTCTAAAACTCCTTTAAAGTCATCTCTGCAAAACACCAACCTAGATCACTTTTCACTTATATATCTGAGGTGGCTTAGCAAAAGCCATGCAACTTAGCTGGCAGGGCCCAGAAATTTTGAATCCCTCTTTATCCATCATGAGCTGCTTATATTAATGTCTCAAACATAGAGGCTCATGAGAGCCTCTATATCCATCAAGGTCCCTCTCTTCATTTAACCACAAATTGACTCTCCTCCTGCCGCCTTCCTTCTGGGCTAAATTAAAAACAAATTAAATATATGACAGGATAGTAACTTAGAAAAATGCAGCACTTTTGTTTCATGGACTTTAATGACTTTTTTATCATAGATCATCATCATTTCACTACCTCTTATTCAATGTGCTACAAGCCAGGTATTTCACTAATGACTTTCCATACATCATATCATTGCACTGCTCCAAACATCCCAGTAGGGTAGTCTTCCATTTCAATTTCACTTGCCTAGGTATCACAGCTTATAAGTGGCAAATGGAATTTAAACCCAGGTATGTCTAATTATTAAGCCTGTACATCAAGAGGCTCACCCATGTTCCAAATGTGCAAGTTTCTATCAGACCTCTGGGACTTTTTGCATGTTCTTCTTTCTTCTTTGGAAGACTTTTAGGTCTTTTCCAAGTTTTCTACTTGGAGAACTCCTATTCATGCCTCAAAGCTCAGGGCAAGAAACTATCTGAAACATGTCCTCTCATCCCACAGACTGGATAATGCTAAAATTTTCCTCCTTTTTATTCCCTGTTTCCTTTTTTACAACTCTGCATCACTCAACCTATGAAAGATCACTAATTTTAAATGTCTTCAGGTTATTTATTTTCATCTTGATATTGTTGGACTAGCTTAGCACCAGACTCATAGAAGGAATGCAATTAAAATGATTGAGGGATGATGAAAAAGAGTGTGCCATTGCACACACACACTTACAGTGCTGTATCTTACTATACTGTGATGAAGTCTGCCCTATGCTGTTCTTCACTATTCAGCATGGGTGAAGATATAATGAAGGTGAGTATTTCTTACTAGTAAGACACACCCACACTGAAGACCAAATATCTGGGCATTGATTGTAAAGTGCTTTGTGAAGCAGAATTTTTTTTCATTTTCCTGCTTGAGAGATTTTGCAAGTTTTAGTGAATTTTGTTGGTGCAGAAATATTTTATATTACTAAACCTATTCTATGAAAATGACATTACTGCTTACAACTCAGCAGTAAAGCTTCTGAATACTACTTTGAATGCTTTGTTAACTTAAAATAATGAGTCACTTGATCACTATTTTTTAAAAATATTGGGACTTGGATGAATATTCCCAGTGATTTATGATGCTTTTAATATTTAGGACTGTTTTTGCATTTGGAATTTTATTACAATCCACTGAGAATTTTCTTTTCAAAGTGCAAAATGAAGAAGTAAATAAATCAAAGTGTTTTATAACAAAACAGAATGCAATAAAATTTGATGGTTTAAGGGCATTAAAGGGTGAGATAAGAAAGCTATTAGGTTTCCTCTGCTATAGCCCTCAGAGATAAAACGAATACAAACAATTTACTTCCTTGACTTCTAAAGATTATTTGTTGGTAAAATGAACTAACATTCTTTCACATAAATACATTCATAGTTAAGACCACACTGCCATTTTTACCCTCCAATTTCAATGACACTAGTGGCCACTTTTTGTTCCATGATTATCCTTAATTATTAATGGTTTTAGATGGTCTCTGGTCTAGATTTAACACTTTTAATACTAAAAAAAGGATTGAGTGGCCAGTCACCTATAGATCCTGTTACCATTACCATCATGTCATTTCATTTTTCTTTGGGTAGACTTCTTCATTTCAAATTAGGTGGTTGGATTTTTCTTAAAAACTAGCAGAAGGATTCATTAGCTTTTAGATAAAAGGATTCTAATGAAAAATGTTCTAATATCTCAGCTTAGACATCCCATTTTATCTTTCATGACATTGTTTTAAAAACTCATCTGTTATTCATTAGATTTTATCTAAGTACTTTTGACAATTTGGCAGACTGGACCGATCATGGGCTTTTTGTATAAACCTGGTTGAATCTTGCTTCTGTTTTTCATTGCCTGTGTGACTTTGGGCAAGTCACTTGACTTCCGTAAGTCTCAGCTTCCACATCCATTTAGTAGAAGAAACTCCTGACTCATAGGTTGGTTAGTGTGAAAATTAAATGATAACATAAAAATAGTGCCCAGTTGGGTTTATAACATGGAGATCAGTCAATACATGTTAGCTAATTGTAATCTGTTACAAAAGTTTATCTTTCATTTAAATACTTTTTTTTCACACAACAAATGAGTTTTCTAGACTTACTTGGCACATTTTTAATACTGAAGATTGAGGGAATAGAGTTAATTATAGTGTAAAATGCAAAAATATTATTCTAGTACATCTTAAAGTATAAACTGGGAATAGGTATCACTTGATTAAACATTTCAAATGCTGAAGTAAATGTGTTAAACCCTGGAGAGAAAAAGATAATTTTACTGCAGGACTTCTTAGTACATTTAAAAATACACATATGTACCTGAATCTCCAAGGGAGAAGATGATACTCAGCAATGACACAAAACTTCCTTTGAAAGGTTTAACTCAAGGTCTTAGCACTCTGGACTAACTTAGGAAGCTGTTCTGAGACAAACCTATGCAATTATGTGTAAGTTTTCATGAAATTTTTTTAAAAAGCCAATTTCATTGATAATCATAAACACCTAATTTAAAAATAGGGGAATATATATGCTTAGCATATGTAACATTTATTTATATAGTATTTGTAGATTTCAGGAATTTTCTGGTTTATGACTTTGTCAAATAATCATTTCCACAGTGGTATTTATTATAATTAGTTACTATGCATATACTTAAAGAGCAATTGCCTAAAATAAATTTATCATCCATGGGTAATCCTAAATGGAAAGTTCCTAAATCCAGAAACAAAGATTTTTAAAAAGAAAGCAAAACAACTCCATATTCTTTCATAAGCATGTTATAGATCATTATTAATCCTTTCCTTTTCTTGTTACAATTTTCTTTATTATTCTTCAAGTAAGATGTATGGAAAATATTAGTGTGTAAAGCTTATTCAAAAACTTGATTGTGGGGATGAGGACTATGGACTTTGCTGCCTTAGTGGTGAATGTGGTGGTGTGATAATATACATCTGAAGAGGTGTGAACCTGTACCTCTGAATCAGCCACAGTGTTGTAAAACAATGTTATCAATGAAAAGTGGACTTTGTAATATTTTAATATAGAAGTACTGTGAATGATCTTCACATGGCAGGTATATCAAAAATAAAAGCTTTATCGTCTTTGCTAAAATTTTAATTATATAATTTCTTAAGTCCTTTACTTTGTTGATGTTTTTAAATAAAATTGGTGGTGAAATGCAAAGAAAAAAAATCTGATTAAAAAAATAGCCTTCATAGATTCTAGTGACTTAACAGACAAGAAAGTAATGTCAAAAGACAGGCATATATAAATATTTTTAACCTCAGATTATCCTCTCTGTCAGTTATAATGATGAATCCCATCTCCCTGGTAATTTCCTGACTAATCTATTTTAGTGTTATGTGCCAAGTTGCTGAGTGCTAACTGGGCGCTTCCCACTAGGTCTCTTTAAGATTCAATTAGACAGAAATCAGTAAGAGCCTCTGGGTTTCTCTTACATTTGTTCCAGCCGCCATCGGGTTTCCAAGGTCACACACCACCATTCTGGTTACATTTTCCATCCTGTACTCACAGCTCAGTGGTCGTAATCCCTGCAATGGAAAAGAACACCAGCATGGAGGTCAAGGCCAGAATAAATGACATCCTGTCACAAAAGTGATGCCTTGGGTGAGGGACGCTTCTTTTGATTTCAAACAGCTGTGTGGGTAACTATGCCCCAAATTAATTTGTGACCATCAGAGAAGAGACCAAAATTGAATTTTAGAAAGAAAAATGCTGCAATGGTAAACATATTTTCATTGTATTTAATTGAGGAAGAAAATGTTTAGTATTTATGTGACTATTTTAGAAATTATTTTCACTATTAATGTTAAAATTGGGTATGAAGATCACAAATAATTAAAGGCGACTAAACAAATTATTCTTCCAATATTAAAATGATGGTAATACATAGACATAGCGCATGACTCCATAACTATTGCAGAAGAATTGCCTTGAACACAAATTCTGCTCCTCATGGTCCCGTTTTGAGATTATGCAATCAATCTAAGTTTAACTTTCCAAATATTTAAGATGAGAACACTTTTTATTTCCCTAGAGTTTCCTATCTCCTTCTCCCCCACTATATTCTATTCTGATTAGAGGGTATAAAGTTTGAGGAGGTATTTAGAAGTAGATGCAGAAGAAGGTCTCAAGATTATACCAGATGAGAGATGGAAGAAAATATTTATCTTTGAATGGCTGTCCTCTGCTCACAGTTCCACCTGGAGTTTTCATGCTTCTCCTGATGCCAGGAAATCCACACCTTGGTTTCCACTCTCAGCCCATTTCCATACTTCAAGACCTAATGTCCCCATGGCTTTGTTTTGCTTTGGTGACAGCTACATGTGATCATCCATTATTCCATTCTAAGTTGTTAAGTGCTACTACTATATTCACCTGTCACCTTTATTCCCAGAGATAAGCTTGCAACGTGAGGACTTTCACAAAGGAGCAAGCTTTGGTGAATTTCTGCCCCTATGAGAAATCCGTGGAAGAGGGTTTCCAAGATGAGGACTATTTCTCCACTTGTCAGCTCTATGAAATTTCATACAAGGAGTTAACGATTTTACTGTTTGACAAATGAGAAAGGAGTGAATCACTGATAGTTGGAGGCACCATTTATACATGCTCTTTTCAAATAACCTGAAAGACATTTTCATTCCAGTAGGTAAGAAACATATTTTCAAAAAGCTGATAATAATCTCTTTTCTCAAAGATAGCTCTAGCATGTATTCAAGTTCTTAAGGAGTCATGCCTAAATCCTGATCATCTTGGGATGTCTTATGCTGGGATTATTAACTCAATCCTAAAAGCAGGGAAAATAAGAAACCCAACTAAAACTTTAAAAAATGCTCATGTGTCCCTTGAAAATGATTCAAGGATTTAGTTTCTATAGTAAATAGTTTTATCTTATCTAAGGTTAAAAGTTATATGTACACTTTTTTCCAGCTCTCTAGAAATAGCTTTTTCAAATCACTCAAAGATCTTTCCTCCTCCAGCCCCTCCACCCTTTTCTTTTTTTAACCTTTATTTCCTCTCTTTGAGTGACAGAAACAGGAATTGTTTTTCCCAGATACTTCTAGATTAATTTTCAACTTTTCCAAGGGATGCTCTTGTTTGAAGTCATTTATAGCTTTTAGAGTAAATACTCACAATGTACCTATTATTTACCAGGCATGATATAAAAAAATCCCTTCTCCTCACAGAATTTCCAATTCTTATAACAATTGTAATAAGTAATGATAAGTGATTATATCCAATAGTAGAAATACACAATATAGTTTCATAAGTGTTATAACAGAAGTAATAGATAGTGATAGGAGGACAAGCACATAGATTAAAGCAATCTGAGGGCTTCCTGAAGGAAGTGACATCTCAGCTGATGGGAGGCAGTATAGCTCAGTGGTTAAGAGCAGGGACCTGTACCTAACAGCTGAAGTTTCAATCTTAGTTCTGCTATATAATAGCTGTCTAACTTTGGGTATATTCCTGAGAATTTTTCCTTATATATGAAACGAGGATAATAATAATCTTGCATGTCTCTATAAGCCTGTTATGAAGATTAAGTAAATTAAATATCTGCAAGAATTCAGAGCAGTGCCCAGCACACAGTAATTGCTTAATAAATATTAGCAGTCTCAATAATTACTAAGCTGAGGCTTGAAGAATAAGTAGAAAAAAAGTAAGTTAAAGAGGATGAGAGAGGAGAGCTCATGTTTCAGAAAGATGGCATAGGGGGTGGTTGCAAGCTCTCTGGGCTAGAGAGCACAGGTATTACAGAAACTGAAAAGAAATTCAGTCCCACTAGAATTTTGGATGTGGGGGTAAAAGAAGGAATCTTGGACTAGTGCTAGGGCTGCAGAGGTAAGCAGCGGTGATAGAATTAAGGACTTCATGAGCCACCTCAGGGATTGGAACTTTATCCTAAAACAGTAGGGAGCTAGGAGGATTTTAATCAAGAGAGTGACAAGGTCAGATGGCATTTTAGAAAGAAATATCCTTTGCTGGGGAGAGACTAGCGGAGGGTGTGGGGTGAAGGGGGTAGGAGGGGTGAGTGAGGAGACTGTGAACTAATCTCAGAAAAAGGTCAGGGCAACCTGGATGAATGCAGTTTTGGGAAGTTAGATGAAGAGGGGATATGGACTTGAGAAATTCACCATTAATTTAGGCTTTAGAAACTAGATGGATACTGGTGCCATTCTCTGACACAGGAAATGGAACAGAGGAGCTTGTGAGCAGGGGATGAACAGTCTAGTTCTGGACATGCCGAACTGGAGGGGGTATGAGATGGAGAAGTGAAGTATATATGAGGTCTCTAGAATAGCCGTAGCCATAGAAATGGAAAGCAGAACAGGGCTTACAAGGATCTGGGAATGGGCTGGGGAGTTAGTATCTAACGAGTACAGGGCTTCAGTTTGGGCGATGTAAAAGTTCTGTGCCACAGGGGACTGTGGTGATGGCGCATGGGTGCCTAGGGGAAGGAAATTCTATGGGGACTCAATCTGAGGGGGTGGGGGAAGCAAATATTGTCTAAAAAAATGTAAAAAATGATAAATGTTAAAATAAAAAAATATAAAAAAAAGTTCTGTGCTAGATGGTGAGGACTAATGTGAATGTATTGAATGCCATGGAACTGTATACTTAAAAATGCTTAAAATGATAAACCTTATGTGACATGTATTTTATAATAATAACAATAATAGTAATAATAATGATGATGATAATAATGTAAAGCACATTTGTCTTTATTCCTACAAAAATTGAGTTAATTAAGGTTTCCAGAAAAAGAGATGAGTAGCACCTACATTCAAAAAGATGAATGTTTTCAACAACAAAAGCTCGCAAGAAGATAATCCCTAATACTTTTCCCCTTGAGAGAAATTGTTACAAACAAAAAAAAACCCTGGAAACTGAGTTTAAATGAAACAGTTTACAGACCTCAACTGTTTAAAAACACAGTAGAAATTAGATGTGGCTTAGTCATGTGAAATTCAAAGACAGAGCTAAATCTCTGCCCAAGGGAAATGGAAGGAGAAAAATAGTTAAGGACTCATTTGAGATTATGAATGATGTGTGTTACGTTTACAGCCAAAGATAGAAATGATAAATGCTCACCCATGTTTTTCTTTTCAACAAAGTGAATAGTAAACGGGGTGTTTTGTTCAAAGAACATGTTAGAATAGATGCTTTGTTTAGCAAAGTTGCGGTGGAGCGACATGAAGGGAACTGAAAGAAAAATATGAGTGGAGCCCTAGAACATTAAAAAAAATACTTGAACTTTGTTTATGCATTATTTTACATGTAAGTATTTATAGGTGATATTTTCCTACATATTTCATCAGCAGAAATTCTTAATGATTTCACAAATGTCAAAGATACTTGGTTATTACTAATCTGGATTAGTTTTCTACTGAGAAGATAAGCTAATGAAAACTTAAACTTCCAGACTAGAGATGTAAATAGAGAATTCTGTATTCCCTGCATTTTGAAATGCCAACATCACAAGTTTCTTGATACCTCTTTAGAGGAATTACTTTTTATTAAATTATTTAATTATATGATATATCCACACTCCTGAAAGTATGTGGTTTTCGGCAAACAGAAGACATTTGATAAATTTTCACAGATGAGCAATCCATCAGCAAGAATTTCAGGAAGACACACTGTGCCTAGTTTTGTGTGGAGGGCAGAATGAGAGAATGAGAAACCTGGTCCCGCCCTTAATTGTGAAATCTGTGTATTTCTGAAACCAAGGTCCTCTCTCTATTTTACATAATAGTTGTAAAAACATTGATAATGATGATAATGATTTCCAAACCAACTATTGATAATGATTTTCCAAACCAAGTGATTGAAAACACAGCAGAACATGCAGATA